TTCACTATGTTGCCCTCAGTAGAGTGCTGTAGTGTCATAGCTCTCAGCAACCTCTAACTTTTGGGCTCAGGAGATTCTCTTGCCTCAGCCTCCCTTCTAGCTAGGACTAAGGCAACCATCACAATGCCTGGCTATTATTTTTGTTTGTTTTTAGCTGGCTCAGGCTGTCCAAACCCACCAGCCCCAGTGCATGTGGCTGACGCCCTAACCGCTGAGCTACAGGCACTGAATCCAGGCAGAATTTTGATGATTTTGCTTGATTTTGCTTCCTGCTGTACCCCCAGCAACTACAGTGCTGCCTGTCACATGGCAGGTCCCACAGGATTCACTGGGTGCTGATTTCTGGCCTGACAATCCGGGAGACCCTGCCGGGACAAAGGTGCCTCTCTGTGTCCTCTCATGGCTAAAGTGAGCCCTGCTCTGCTCACACTATTGCTCCGAGACATCCCTCTCCACACCTGCCCTGAGAAAACAGAACTGCAGAAGGTGCCCTGCTCTCTGGCCACTGCCAGCCTGGCTGGTTGTCCACCTGCTCCTTCCCTCCCATTCAATATGGAGGAAGCATTCCCTGCCTCCCAGACATAGCGATTCACTCCCTTTGAATCCATCTCCTCTCTGCTTGCTCCTTTCTGTTGGTTTTTCAACATGTTTGCCACCTATGACTGTGTCCCTCTGCCACTCTCCCACAGCTGTGCCTTTGGCCACAGCTCTGGCTAAGATGGGATCTTCCATATCCAACATCTTTTGTTATCTCTGCTGGACTCGTCAGAACTCTGATTCTCTTGCTAAGCTCTCAGGTACGCCAGTAGGGACACGATCATCTGCTCTGAACCATCTCTTCCCCATCTTCTTCCTCACACATCTATGTAGCTGCCAGGTCTTGCTGTCCTGTGCCATCTTTCTCCTCAAATCCATCTCCATCTCTATCCCGGCTGCTATCCTCTCTAGGTAGCTCCACCACCAAAACACCAGCCCGATGATCTACATAGTGTGCTCACTTTATTTTTTCTTAAGAGAGAAAGCTATTGGAGGATCTAGCCTTACTCTCAGTAGGTAATATTTAGACTTAATATGGCAGGGCAAAAGGGCCTTTAAATTATTTTAATGCTGTATGCTATCAAATACTAGTCAGAGTATTTAAGTATATGTAAGAGAATAAAGTAACATATAATACCTTTCATACCTGGACCGAGCAATGGTGACCGACTCAGCTGCGCACTGGCCTGGTGTGGGGGTGGCGTGTCGCCCCTGTGTGTGGTGCTGCTTGTGGTGGTGGTGGTGGTGGTGGTGCTGGTCGTGCTGCTGCTCTGGATGACCGGGTTGTTTCTATCCCACATGTTTACAGTTTTATTGTTATAGTTGCTTGGGTCCCCCCAAGCTGAGGTACCATCATCAATTTCCATCTTGCGTCGGATAGATGGTGGAGAGGGCTCTTCCCAGCCGGTCGCCTCGCTGCTGTCCTTCTGTCTGAGAGATGCCGGTCCCCCCGCCCACCCTGCTCCTGTCTGTTTCACAGAAGCAGCTCCTCCCCAGTTACTCACATTGTTATCATGGGGTTTGTTGGCCCAGTTCTGTTGGGGACCAGGTTTTAAAGACTCCCCCCAGTTTGTGCCCGGATTGACCTTTGCACTTGTGCCATTCCCCCAACCACTGGTCCCAGATCTTGCGGCATCACTCCAACCAGACCCTGATCTATTACTGTCTGCATCCCATCCAGATCCATTTTTTTTCCCGTCTCCCAAGTGTCCAAGGACAGATGATGAATCTGCCCAATCTCCCCCTCCGGCACCCCAGGCTGGATTCGATCTCTGTCCATCTCCCCAGTTTTGGGATTTGGGTTTTGGAGGCTCACCCCAGGTGGGTGACTTGTCCTCCTGATTTGCGGTCCCACTCCAAGCATGGCCACTCTTGGTGGCAGCAGCATTGCTAACAGCAGTAGAGCTTATTGAGTCCCCCCAGACCCCTGGCCCACTTGGCGCTTTGTTGTTGCTGTCTCCCCAACCTGTGTTTGCTGGCACAACGGCAGGTGGCGAGTTGACCCACCCAGATACTGAAGAGGTATTTGTACTGTTCATGATGGACCCATCATTCTTCCCCCCTGAGTTTGAAGGCTGAGTAGCTGCACAACCCCAGGCCTCTGTCCCATTGTCATTTTTTCTTTCAGACCTAGGGGATTCTTCAAATTCCCAGGCAGTGTTTTGCTTTACAGGAGTCTGTCCCCAACCAGTATTAGACAGAACTCTTGGGTCAAGATCGTTCCTTGGCAATTGGATGTGCCCTTGGTCTATAATCCCTTTATCACGTCTTCGGGCTTCTCCAGTTCCTTCCCGCCCAGTGCTTCCTTCATTGTGGCCAGAACCATCACTACTTCCTTCACTTGCTGTAGTTCCAGAAGATGCAGCTTTGGCCCAAGAGTTCAAGTGTTCACTGCCAGGCTGCACAGGAGGGTTCTGGCTGGTGGCACTGGGACTCTCCCACCCTGTCGATCCTTTCCCACTAATGTCACTACTGGAATGCTGGTTTGGGGGCTTTCCCCACTCCCCATTTACACCATTGGAGGTGCTCCGGCTAGGGTGGCCCCATGCTCCTGAATGGATATTACCTACACCATTGTTGCCCCCGCCCCTCCCCCATGCAAGTATTCCAGGACCGGCAGGTGGGCCTGAATCCCAAGCGTTTCCTCCATTTCCTTCCTTCTGCACAGCACTGCTGGATCCATTTTGTTTAGCACTTAATGCTGAGTTCACAGTGTCTGCATTCCCCTGACTGAACCCAGCACTGCTATTTCCTGTGGCAGAGTTACCTGGGGACAGTCCCCACACAGAATTGCTGACTCCTTCACCACCACTCCCACTGCCTTGAGAAACTGATGATCCATTAGCACCAGGAAGGCCTTGCAGGTGGGGCGGGATGATGGCCCCCATACCAACAGCCATGCCCCAGTTTGGCAGTCCGTTTGTCTGCATTGCATTGATAGGGTTTGGTGAAGAGTTCATGGGGTTAGTGTTATTTGGTCCATCAGTGTTAAGGTTCTGAGGTTGTACGCTGAAAGACACATTCTGAGAAGTGGACGTCTGTGGTTCTGTGCTCTCTTGCGGCAGCAAGTTTCCCCAAGCACCTAAAGTGCCTGTTGGGTTTCCATTCTGGTTGCCTATATTTTGACCTATGGCACTGACTGGACTGCAAATACTGGAAGGGGTGCCTGTCGCCACGGTTCCTTCATGTCCCAGTACAGGCCAGGCGGCTGGGTTGGCATTAGGGTTAAGGTTAAGATTAATGCCAGCATTGGAGTTGGAAGCACCCCAGCAGTTCTGACTTCTCCCATCTCCAATCATGTTGTCCATCTTTCCATCCCCGCCACCAACAGAGCAGTGAGTCAGGCCAGAGCTGGAGCCTGTGGCTACACCCCAAACTCTGGCTGCACCCCCATTACCGTTTGCTCCCCCTGCTCCAAGGGCACTCTGGTTAGAAGGGCTTTGGACGAGTGCGCCGTTGGTGCCATTATTGCCATTTGTCTTCTTGGTATGTCCAGTGAAGTTGCCCTGGGCACTCCCTGTAGCCATGCTACTGTTCTCTGAGCCACAGTTGGAGGCAGAGTCAGTGTCTGTAGTACATTCTGAGGCAGATTCCGTCTCGGGTCCTGTGATGGAAGGCCACGCCTCCTTGTCAGTCCTGTCTATTATCACTTTATCCCAGCTGCAGTTGGCTTCACTTCTGTAAGTGGGCTGCTGTCCCCAGTGGGAATTTTCATAATGATCTGCCAATCCACTGTGACTGAGATCTGAAAAAGATGAAACAAAATTCCAAATTAGATTTTCTTCCCATCTGTCAATGAACTAGTTAACTAGTCTGTGGGGAAGCTCTTTATAAGTTTTCAATTCTGAATGATAAATGTTAAAAAGTGACTTAAAGAAAAATTATTTGTCATCTTAATAGCTCTCATTTTAGAGACAGCTAATGTTCCTCCAATTATACTAAGTCTTACCACTATGCCGTCCTATAATCCTCCTGGAAAAGTCACAACACATATTAGCACAAGGGCAGCTCTGAAATGCACGCCACTCTGCCCCTGCAATTCCTATGGATACTGAGACTCTTTGGGAAACACCGACTTTCAAAAACAACTCGTATGTAGTTCTCTTCAAGAGTTCTAATTACAGGATTAATCCGAGTGACAGGATTGCACAGAGGCTGAGAGGGGGAGAAGACATGTTAGTGAATGCCATTTCATGTTATCAAAGATACTTAGGGTTAGAAACGATGAATTACATTTACGTATATTACTTTATCTGATCCCATCTGCAATTTGGTCTATCATTGTTTTCTGTGAATTAATAAATTCTCAGCCCTTTAGTATCTTCTTGGATCTCTGAGGATTCCAGCTATATCCTTAGTGTTTTCTTCAAAGATCTCCAAAGTAACTTTACATGATTATCTTCCTACAGCATTCACATCATTCCATTGTTATGATCCTTTTAAAAAATCTATTTGGGCGGTACCTGTGGCTCAAAGGAGTAGGGCACCGGCCCCATATGCTGGTGGTGGTGGGTTCAAACCCAGCCCCAGCCAAAAAATAAAATTGCAAAAAAAAAAAAAAACCTACTATTTGGGGACAGTGCCTGTGGCTCAGTGGTGCTGGCCCCATATACGGAGGGTGGCAGGTTCGAACCCGGCCCTGGCCAAACTGCAACAAAAAAATAGCCGGGTGTTGTGGCAGGTGCCCATAGTCCCAGCTACTTGGGAAGCTGAGGCAAGAGAATAGCCTAAGCCCAGGAGTTGGAGGTTGCTGTGAGCTGTGTGATGCCACAGCACTCTACCGAGGGCAATAAAGTGATACTCTGTCTCTACAAAAAAAATCTACTATTTGGTATCTGCATTTTATCTCCTATGACTTTCCTAATTATTTGAGTATTTCCAACACTGCAATCATACTTATATTCCAGTAAATTTTCTAGTAGACTTTATTCAAAGCATTACTCAAAAGTAAAGTAAAAGAAATGTTAAAAAAAATCATTTAACATAAACACACAACAAATTCACATGACTCAGAAATCCTTGATGGAGTTTCTTTAAATAGTATGATATACAGATAATAATATTTTCTTCTCTTTTGGAACTTTTTAATGATTATGTTTTCTTCAAATTTATTAATATCTTAACAAAAATCTTATTTGTGGAGAGCTAAAGCATGGGTTTCTTGGCTCAGCGCCTATGGCTGAAGTGGCTAAGGCGCCAGCCACATACACCTAAGGTGGCGGGTTTGAATCCAGCCTGGGCCCACCAAACAATTATGGCTGCAACCAAAAAATAGCCGGGCATTGTGGCGGGCGCCTGTGGTCCCAGCTACTTGGGAGGCTGAGGCAGGAGACTCGCTTGAGCCCAGGAGTTGGAGGTTGCTATGAGCTGTGATGCCACAGCGCTCTACCGAGGGGTCAGCTTGAGGCTCTGTCTCAAAAAAAAACAGACAGACAGAAAAAACCATGGGTTTCTCAAAGAAATTCTCTTTTAAAGTTTCCTTTTAAGGAAAACCAGGAAGTATGTAAAGAATTATCATTAGAAAGAACACATGCTAAAGCTAAGATCAACCTCAAAAAAAAATCTGTGTTGCCTAATTTTAAAAAGTAATGTGGCAAATTTAGAATTATGCTCTGGGTGATTCCAAACTAAGTAGCTAACAGCAAGTGAAAATTACAAAGGAAAAATGAAGATAGGCAATGAGAACTTTAAGTATCTAAACTACTATAAAACAATAAGTTTGTAACTGCCAATATTAGGAATTGGCTCTGCAATGCTGGTTTACGCCAATTTCCCCTGTTGGTTTTAAAATATCCTAAAAACTAGCTTATATAACAACTAATTGAAAGAGATAAACAAGCCATTCATCATTTAATACAGAAAATAAGATCAAGTTAACAGAGATTATGGCCTGTTGCCAGCAAGAACTACATTTCATTTTACCATCTATATGGCTGCCCTCAGGGACAGGCTTTGCCATAAGGCAGGCCACTGCCCTCTTGACTGGCACAGCACTCATGGCAACCCGCACTCAGAAAGCAGGTTAACAACCTGGCTTACCAACACATTCCTTTCTGTAAGTGGGGTGCCAATGAATACACAGTATTATCTTTCATTCCATAATCATCACACTGTAAAAGGACCAGCCCTTTGTTAATGGTCTACCTGAGGATTTGTGTGGAATGCTGTTTGAAGATTGTTCAGCCCCTAATTTTTGGGGTTCACACTCAGTTATATGACAGGTTTGACAAAAGAACAGCATTGCAAGCTAGTAGAGAAAGGAAGGACTAGATAATAAATACTGTTGGATAATTAGCTGCTCACATGAAAAAAAAAACCAAGTAGATCCCTTATCTCATAACATAAATAAAAATAAATTCTAGATAAAGGCCCAATTATGATAAGCATAACTTTTAAAAACTTAATAAAGAAATGTAGGATACTTTCTATGACTTTGGACATATCTTCTTAGAGAACACACAAAATGCATAAGCCATATAATGTTGATAAATTTGACTATGTTAATGTTAAAACATCTCAATGACAAAAGACATCATATAAGGAAACAAGTCACAGGCAGGAAAAAGAGATAACAGACAAAGAATGTTTATCAGATTAAATAAGTACTGCAAATCAATAAAAAAGACCAAGAGCCCAACAAAAAAGAGGCAACTTAGAGAAAACTCAAATGTCAATTAACATATGACACAATAAGCAACCTCATTAATAATCAAGAAATGCACTTTAAAACAAGACAATAAAGAAAAAAAAAAGTAAAACAACAAAACTATTTTCCAGTCTAGATGGAAGTGACACACACCAAAATCTGAGGACTGTGGTTCTCTCTGGGGAAGGGGACCAGAATGGGATTAGAGATTAGTGCCTTTAAAATTTTTAAAATAGAGATCCCTGAAGCAACTACAAAAAACATTATTAAATACCTATTGTGAATATAGTTATTTTTTGTACACTTCTATTTTCAAAATTTTTTAAAAAAATTAAGGGTACATGTGAATCTTTCTAAATGCAGAATATAAATGTCTTAACACAATAACTAAGAAAATGCCACGAAGGCAATGTTAGCCAGTTTGGTGAAAATATTTCCAAATTGTATATAAAACCAGCACACCGCACCCCATGACTGCATTAACGTACACAGCTATGGCTTAATAAAAAAAATGAAATGCTTACATGTGATACAAGTATACAAACGAGATGGCACAGCGGTGTGATTCAAGTCTATCTGATCACTGAATTAAGAGTCCAATTTCTCAAGCTAAATTTCTTGAGAGCATGGCTAGTCTTTTTTTAGTTTTATATCCATGATGCTTGCCACATATCTAGCAATCAATACATACTTCAGACAAAACCATAAATGTATAGGGCTAAAATCTCAGGGAGCTGATCAATCTGAAGTCACTTCTCAATTCTAAAAAGATGACGTTGGGTGGGCACAGTGGCTCACGCCTGTGATCCCAGCACTCTGGGAGGCTGACGCAGAAGGATCCCTTGAACTCAGGAGTTTGAGACCAGCCTGAGCAAGAGCAAGAGCAAGACCCAAGATGAATGCTGCTTAATTTTCAGTCAGTTTTGTAGGCAATGTTCAGATTAAACTTAGGTTGCCATGTTGACTAAAAACCAAGTTAGCTAAGTTAATAGTATTTGCAAAAATTCTGGGTTATCTACTTAGACAAACTAGTAGAAAAGGAACCTAGCTCAAAATATTTACTTGTAAAAAAAATTATGACTGAGACTACAAGTCAACATTAAAAAGAGTTCTCCTTTCAAAGATAAGTTAAACTAGAGAGGTCAGTTTGGAGTAATGACATGTAACCTAAAAAGAACCAAAAAACCCCAAGCAATCGTACTGTCTCTTTTCTTCCTCCTCTACAGTCTGCTCAGGGTTCCTGGGAGAAGTGGCAGCCTCTGGCAAGCTGTGGCAAACACATCTCTGTCACAGGAGAGGAGCTTAGGCCAGGGCAGCAGACCAGACCGGCCTGCTGAGCTGTGTTTAGCTCCCACTACTGGACATAACTGCTATTCCTTTTTTCCTTTTCCCCATTTCAGTTGTTCTCTTAAACTTTACTAATCCAGGTATCCAAAAATTAATTTTACTGAAAATTCAGTGGTGGGACATAGAGAAGAAAAGTACATAATTAGTTGAGTGTGGTGGCAAGACCAGCTTGAGCAAGGGCGAGACCCCGTCTCTACTAAAAATAGGAAAAATTAGCTGGGCATTGTGGCAGGCACCTATGGTCCCAGCTACTTGGGAGGATGGCTGGAGCCCAGACCTTAGTTTGCTGTGAGCTATAACTCCGTAGCATTCAACCTTAGGGTAACTCTGTCTCAAAAGAAAAAAAAAGTTTTTATTTTTAAGAATATCATATAAATAGAATATACTGTGCACTCTTGGCTTCTTTGGGTCAACATTGCACTTTTGAGATTCATCTGTGTCACTGCGTGTATTAGAAGTTAGTTCCTAGGCCATATGTGGTGGCTCATACCTGTAATCCTAACACTCTGGGAGACCAAAGTGGGAGGACTGCTTGAGCTCAGGAGTTTGAGACCAGTCTGAGCAAGTTAGACCCCATCTCTATTAAAATAGAAAAATTAGGCAGGAATTTTCTCAGGCATCTGTAGTCCCAGCTACTTGGGAGGCTGAGGCAGGAGGATCACTTGAGCAAAGGAGTTTGAGGTTACTGTGAGCTAGGCTGATACCATGGCACTCTAGCTTGGGCAACAGAGAGAGACACTGACTCAAAAAAA